GACCCGTCTGAAAAGGGTTAAAGAGCATGGAAAACCCATTGTAGGGTAAGCTACCTACTTGGGCAATTTTTGGTAATTATGTGAGTATCTATCCTTCTCCCACCCAAGGAAAAAACATTATATCCCTGTTGTTAAGGTAATAATATGTTTATTATATATTAGAAGCGCATTAAAATCAGAAGCTTTGGATTGGTTTGTAGTTTTTGTTGTAAAGCTGCAAAATTAGCCATCTGCACTGTGTTCATCTTGGGGTTCCAACCCTAAATTATAGCATTATGAACTCTAAATCTTACTGCTGAGCCACTCGAGGACAAAATTATAAGGGGAATGTGTAATTTCAATTTAATAAATTATCATTATGGGTTTTGCATTTAAGCATGAAGTTGCAAAGTGACATTGTAGTGCAAAAGATTTCAAATATAAACATATTTCATTTTCTTTTGTCATAAAGCAGACTGCAGAAACCGTTGAAGCTATTGTTCAACAACTTATGGAGAAGCAGCGAGCCAAGATGTCAGTCAGAACACATGAGTGTGTATGTGACACCAGTACTCCCTCCAAGTCATCTACTGCCTCGGGATCAGTGACAGTTGACAATAAAAAATGTAGCCACACCTTACATCGGATCATTTCTCCCAAGACCCAGGTAGCAGCAGCAGCTGCTGCAGCATCCGACGCTAACAACAGTACTGTTGCAGTTTCTGTAACCTCAACAACTTCAGCTCAAACTTCTGTTTCTCAAACAGTTAGTCAGAAAATAGTTACAAGTATTATCCATGCTACAACAACAGTCAGTACCCCTACAGTCTCTCAACGTTCAAGTGGGGTAATCTTTGCCACCCCATGTAAGCCACTAGTACAGAATGGGACTTCTCGAGAAGCAACAACTCTCTCTGCTACTTCAGGCTATACATCTCTGATCTTAAACCTTTCTCAACTTCAAGGAGGTGGAGGACTTCTAATTTTAAACAGTGCTGCTGCAGCAGCAGGAATGGACTTGAATTCAGCTTCTCTTACTCCTGTGACTCTCTTGTGTGGACAGGATGCAGGTGCTGCTCTTTTAACTCCTACTACAGCTACTAGTACCCAGAATTCTAGCTCCATGGAAACATCAGACTCTTCATCGACATCTACACCCAAACACACAAACTCAAAAGTTAAATCTTACCCACAAGTCAAATTGAACAGCTCCTTAAAGGGCGAAGACATGGACTTTAATTCAAATGTATCTAGTCATAAGGATCCAAATCTAAGTCGGGCTCTTCATGATTTCACCCTTGATCCTGATGGAAACTTGACATTGCTACAAGATCTCCAGAAAGTAACATCATCAAACCTTCTCTCCACCTCTCCACCATTAATCACTTCTGATTCTTCAATTTTAATCAAAACGGAGCCTATCAACCACCCAGATTTAGACCCTGTGGATCTAAACCCTATGGACTTTATTGATAATGACCTTTCAACCCCAGATGATGAGGTTTTTAACCTTGACACATTTGACATGCTCACTGACCTCCCAAACCTAGAGGACCTTCACCCTGACCTAGTGTCCAGCAGTGGATTGTGTGGAAGCTCACTTGCAATCTCTGTGTCTAAAAATCACCACCAGAGTTCCCCAGATTCACATCATACATCCCAACACATCACTGACTATTCTCCTCATTGGTCTTATACAGAAGTAAGTAAATAATAACTATATTTGAAGCTTGACTGACCTTGTTGAAATCCTGGTGGTAGATACAAGAACTCTTCATTTTGAACTTTTTTGACATTAAATGCACAACTTGTATAGCCGTATTAGGTTTTATCATTAGGCTTTTAGCAGCAAATTGTGACATATAAAGGATTTGTCACTTGAAAGAACATAATTTTGTTTAAGTTAATATATTTATTTTCAATAAATGTTCACTAGGCTTCCATCAGGTTTTCAGATTATAATGTTACTGCAGATAAATTGAGGTAATTATTAATTATCATGTAATACCTGTTCTACAGATTATCTTGTGCACCTGTTGACATATATCAAAATAGCAGGTATTCACTTACTGAAAAGCTGCAGTGGTGTTTTGTTGCATGTCTGGATATTGTGATCCCTAAGTCACAGGCATATTTAAGAACGTGCACAATAATGATATTGTAGGTAACTGGATATAAGGATTTTACTCCTTAATTTCCATTTTAGCCACTGTGAAAAAAATTATTGTAACCTGTACAAAAAATAAACAGCTCTTTCTCACTATACATGAACAACTAGCAGTTTGTGTTTACTAATGACATTCAGCTTCTTCCTACTGTGAATTAATTTGAATCATTCATATTTTGTTTTATTTCTTTTTTAATCCAGTCAATTTAAAAAAGATTTCCTGAAACCCACAAAAAATTTGAAAAGAAATATTTTTTTATTTTTTATGTCTAGATATACCTCCCAAACAACAGGTTTAAAACCCTCTCTTGCCTCTGCGTGTTAAATAGGAAGTTTGGCCATATGAGGCCGTGTATCCCCCTACACTGTAATAGGTAGGGTGGTAAGGTCAGTTAATTTTGGTGTAGAAGGAGAATTAATTACTGCACAACTGTAATCTATATGTCATCACAAAGCTAATGCAGTTGTATTTTGACTGATCTAAGAAGATTTAAGATATATATAAATAGCTAGTCCCTAAGAGGCCAAAGGATCAAAATAATTGATTTGTATAAAAACTGAGACTTTAAATGTATAAATAATCTTTTCAAATGTAAAATTGAAATATTATGATTATAGATTTTTAAACTATATTTGATATAGGAATCTTTAAAATATGTAAATTTTTCTATCATGACCAGATGGTGGTTTAATCAATATGTTTTCCCCATTGAACAGATGATTTTTGACAATAGTAAGTAATGCCTGGGGCCGTTTCTGTCCTGTTACTACTAAAATTACTGAGATATATATTTAAACCTTCACAAAACCTCAAAATGCTTTTGGAAATGAGAAAATGAAATGAAAAATGGAGAGCAACAGTAGAATATGTGACCAACCTGTTTCCTCTGGGGATACAGTAACATTGACAGAAAAATGTGTTCAAGGAATTTTGAAAGCTGTGAATGAATGTAGTGATAGTGACATAAGCGTGTGTTGGGCAAAAGGTACACAAGGAATGTCATCATTCTTACATAGATTCTAAAAGAGTTGCTTTAAGGAGGAAATAAAATTAGACAAGTGATGAGTAGCACAATTTGCTTTCAGGGGGAACAGGGTTTACATTCAGTTAAGACTTTTTGTTTTATGTCAAATCCTTAATGAAACAAGGAGGCAAAAAGTATTGCAAAAAGGTTTATACAGTCAGAACAGTTGACTTTCAAAATATGATCTATGAAAAATGTAAAGAAAGGAGTGGCAACTGGGAGAGACAGTTATAGGTAGGATTGAATATTTTCGAGATGAAAATATGGATAAGATTTCCATACTAGGAAAATTCTTAAAGACAAAGAAAACTGGTGACTGGAGACTCCATCTGCAGGCTGTTCTGGATATGTTACCTGTCTTTGCAGCAGCTGGACACAGCTTATATGCAAAGTCAGCATATGTATATATTTGATAAACATGCAAGCTCTTGAGTCAAGTAATCCTGAAAGTTACAGGTTTATTTATGGAAGGTTATCATGTTGTTAGGAGGAGTGTTCAGTTTTTGGGAGGACTTTCTACAGGACTGGTAATAGAACAGATGATGATTATAAGTCTGTAAACTGTTGGTGGATTAACAAGAGGTTGTGGATGACAGAAACTTGAAGGCCACTTTGGCTATTGTCTAAACCTGCCTGTTCAGAAATCAATGCAGTAGACAAGTGGAACTATGTTAGTCACAAGTGAACAACATAAAGAGAGTACCAAAACAAGGAAACAGGAAGACAAGAAAGATGTCTATTCTGTTATGAAATTCTTACTGGACTGAAATCCTTTTGGTGATGTTAAGAAATTTAAAATAATTTCCAATGGAGTTGTATCAAAAGAAGGCAATATTTATGAGAGTATCCAGAAAATGATTGGAAACACTGCAAAAGACTTTATTTTTAGGAAGAAAGACAAAACTGGATTAATTAAAAATTGACGAAGAAACTGTCAAGGTAGATCCACAGCTATTATTTCAGAGATTAATTACAACTACCAAGGGTTCCATTCCATAAGATGAACTGACATCTGTTTTCTCCTTTGAGCTTTGTACATATCCTCCTGCCTTGTTAATATAAGCTGGTAAATCTTCCCTTGCAGCAGCTGTGAAAGCTAAAGTGAATCCAGATAACAGTATTCCAGGTGAAGAAATCAAATATGTGATAGATGGAAGAATGCTTTTGCAATGGCTCCCATAGCCAAGAGACTGCAGCTATGCACAACTTTGTAATATGTATTTTGAATTTATACAGTCGAAGTACAGCATGGCAAAGCTACAGTGGTATTTGATGGATATAATGATGTACCCAATACCAAAGACAATACTCATCTACAATGCACTATTGAGTACATTGGCATGGAAGTTAAATTCATTGAGACAGTGATTATGAGAGGCAAGAAAAAACATTTCTTGCAAACCAAAAAGACAAACAAAAGTTTATCAATCTGTTAAGTGAAAAACTTCAAGTGGTTGGTATTGAAATTCTGCATACAACTGGTGATGCTGATGTCTTGATTGTAAAACAGCTGTACATTTTGCAGTCACAGAGAAAATGGTATTGGTGGGAGATGACACTGACTTACTTGTGTTGTTGTATCACTAAGTGCAGATGGATTCCCTCTCTATTTATTTGAAATTAAGGCCAGTATCCAAATCAAGAACCCTGTTGTTTGGAACATTCTTGAGACAAAACGAATGTTAGGGGACAATATTTGTACTGACATTCTGTTTCTCCATGCAATACTAGGCTGCAACACTACATCAATGATTAATGGATTTGGGAAAGGTGTTGTATTGAAAACATATGAAATAAGCAATCAAACAGAAAGCATACCCTTTCCCTGCCACTACTTTTTGAGATTGCATGTGCTTATATTGGATAATGTCAAATTTCACCTTCAAAAACACAGAATATCATTCTCAGATTGAGAATGATCAACAATTCGAATCATATTTTATAGTATGATGAGGAGTCTCAACCTTAACGTGCTTATGAAATTAGGTACAAATCCGATCACACTTTACAGAGTTATTAACCCAAAACTCCGAAAATGCCCTATCTCCCCATTAGAAAAAATGCTTCAAAGTGGTACAAAGTCCGGATCCAGATTTGAATCGGGTACAAATTTTTGGAGGAGTGTCCCATACTGACTTCCCATCTTGTGTAAAATTTTCTTGTATGTTGGTCTATTAGTTTTTGAGATAGGTGCATAGAAATACAGACACACACACACACACACACACACAAATACCCTTGCCTCCCCTCTGGGGGGTGAGGGTAAAAAAGTGAAGAAGTTGGGCATGTTGCTTCAATATTCAATAGTGAAGTAACTAAATAGGAAGTAATAGACTCAGGTGAGTTGGCACTTCTGTGTCCATACAAGAGTAACAAGAAAGAAAGTTTGAACAGTCTACATGTGTAGTTATGTAATACAGTTTTGCAAATACATTAGTTAGTTTCAATTTTTGTCCTTAAAAAGTATGTATGTAATAGTGACCTAGCATACATCTATATATGAAAAAACAAAACAGTTCTTTTCAATATTGCTCAGATGATCTCATACTGGCCAAAATCCTATTTTTAAAGGTTTATTTATTAAATCTTTTTACATCAGTCACAAGACAAATACATTAGCTCTGCAATTACATATCACTAACTATAAATAGCTTATTCCCTTTGTCAGTCTGTCAAGAATGCTTGCATGCTCCTTTATTGGTAATGCTCAACAATAAACACTGCTTAGCAACAAAACTATCACCTGATTGTTCTTAGGGCAACTATGGTGTTTATGTTGAATGCTCAATATTCATGTTGATTTGTAAGAAAGGTTTGCTTTATTATTCTTTATTTTTTTGATAACTTCAATGATATAACAGCAACACAGTTGAATTCAGAAGTTTTATGACATTGAGTTGTAGCCAAAAGCAAAATAAAATTTACCAAGTAATGTTTCAGCTAAGCCTTCTGTTATGTTTATGTATTAAATTAGACTACAAATAGGCCTACTATTACTAATGTTATAGAGTCAGTGTTTAAAAGGTTTTAAGTGGTGAATAAATGCTAATTAATAAATATTCTTTTGATATTTTAACACATGTATTATTTACTTGGCCATAAAACATAAAAAAAATTACATTTATTACTACCAAATATCTTTTATCCTTTGTACAGTTGAAAAGAGTTGAAAATTTCTGTCAGAATGTATGAACTGTGTTTTCTATTTCCTGACTTAGAATACAGTGAAAATGCTCAAGAGTGTATTTAAGTTTCTTTCAGAGTGCAAACGTACTTTTGTTCATGATAACATTTAATTTTTCTGCATAGTTTTTACTAAAAATGTGGTGATTAAAGAATTACTTCGAGATTGATGAAATAAGTTAAGAGTAGGTGCATTTTCGTGGTGCAGAGAAATTTGTTTTATTTGTTCTATAATTTTAATTAATCATTCAACAATGGTTTCCCATAATTTTTGACAGGCTTTTATATACTTATAAATTATTGTTTTGGAGCCATTATTTCTGTTTCTGTACCAAATTAACTGACCTTAACCTCCTGTACCTTATGGAGTAGGAGATATACATGGCCTCATATGGCCAAAATTCCTATTTAGCACACAGAGGCAAGAGAGGATGTTTAATATGTTTCTTGGGAGGCATATCAAAACATAAAAAATCAAAAATAATTTCTGTTCAAACTTATTTTGGATATTATAACAGGATGACATGACTATTACATGCCAGAGCAGTCATTGTACTAATAATAGCTTGTTCAGAATTATATACAAATTATTCAACTTGGCTTTTAATTTTCATCTCTCAAGTCAGCCTGGTGTAATTTAATATAATTTTATCATTTAGTGGTGGTTTTAAAACTGAACTCTTTAAAAAAAAAGTTGCATTCTAGTTTTCAACATCCACTCTGCTTACAAACACTTTAATTTTCCTGCTAATGTTATTAATCTTAAATGTAAAACCTAATGACTTTTTATTTCAAATCATTATTTCTTTTGAAAGGGTGGAGTGAAGGTGTTAATTACAGGTCCCTGGGATTCAACAACTTCTGTATACTCAGCCATATTTGATGGTGTCAGTGTCTCAACGACATTGGTGCAGAATGGCGTTCTACGTTGTTTTTGTCCAGGTAAAGTTAGAATTTTTTTAAAGATTCATCAAGCATATGAAATACTTCAACAAGATACAGTCATAGATAAATAAAAACAATATAAAATCCTAAGAAATTATGAGAAAAATCTTTTTTTTCTCTCTATTGTTCAAGGTATTCTCCACTTTACTGTTTTCAAAATATTTTGGTTTGTTCTTTAAGTTATTATTAAAATTACTTTCTGACTTATGATCAAAAGCTGAGTCATTAGGAAATTTTAAAGTCAAATTTTTAAATAGTTATGTCCACAATGTAAGAACCAAATTTTTAAACCAACAGTTGCTGATAATACTTCATACTTGCTATGTTTGAAGGAGCTAAAACTGTATACTATTGGTTCTTTAAACTTTCCTTATAAGTGAATTTTTAGGCATCATTAGAGTTTTTGGAAAGTTATATGACCATAGACCAACTAATAAATTTCAGTTGGAGTTCTAATAATATTATAGTGTTTTTTTTTAAAATAAGTACTTAAATTGTTTACATAATGATTGAATGTATAAACTAAAACTTCATATCCAACACTTGGATTTAGTATTATGGTAAATGATGAGGTTAATTCTGGCATTTTCTTGTACATTTTTTTCTTTCTGAAATAACTTTACGATACTGTTTTAATATAACCATAATGATATTAATTATCTTATAGTTGGGGTGGTGAAACATCTAAAATGGGTTTTTATAATTATCTTCTTTGTACACAACTACACCAATTCCAGACAAAATATAAACTTCTGTCATTTGTTTTGTTGACCTCATTGACCCAAAGTTGATGTCAAAAATTATGTTTTTTCTTTGTATCTCAGTGAGTTCCTACTTGAATACTAACTCTTATATTGAACTTTGGTCACTGACCTTGCCAGTTCTTCTTTGTTAGAATTCAGTAATTGTAGAATATTTTAAAAGAGTTCTGTTTTGGGGTATTATGGAATGATTTTCATGTATGTCAGTCACATGCTCTCAAATATGAGTTCTTATAATATGAGAAAAATCTCCAGTATAAAACACTTGGTAGTTTTTCAAAGTTACATATTAAAAAAGCATACAGCGTTAAAAGCGTGACAAACAGAATAAAATGTAATAAGATATTTTCACACGATCTAGGAGAAATGACACAACTGTTAAGGATCTCATAACAATGTGTGTGTGTCTCATAAACTTTGGTTTTATCTTGTTTGTGAAAAAAACAGCTTTTCTTGCATATTTTTTGAGACTCTTTTTATACATGTACCATTTATTTGAACTTTAGCTAAAGTTTTCTGTTTATTATTCATTATTTAACATTTGGCTGAATCCATCCTCATTTCAAATACATTTTATTTTGCCAGAAACTTAGTGATTTTAATTGCCCAAGTGGAATACTCTGCATAGAAAATTTAAACATTGGTTTAAGCAACTACTGTTTTAATTATGTACACATCAGTTCATCTCATAGTCTTAAGATTTTTAGTCTGTAAAATATGAAAAAGCTGATATATCATATTTAATTGTATTTCTTATAAAAATGAGTATGGTATCTTTTACAGCTCATGAAACTGGTCTAGTGACGTTACAAGTGTCCTGCCAGGGATTTGTAGTTTCAAACTCTGTGGCATTTGAATACCGAAAGAGAAACATGATGTATGTTGCCAATGAACAGGACTGGTTTTGTGTGGATGGCAAGTACTTATTTTCCATTACTTTTAACATGATATTTCAGTACTCCACTTGGAATAGTGTCACAATTTTTTTTAACTATTTATATTAAAGGAAGCTTGTTTTCACAATAATTTCTGTTGAAATATTTATGATGTCATTTATAGAATGTCTTTGCACTAGTGAATATATCTGCCTGTGCTTTTGTAATTGGATACATTACTTGCTATGTGTGTAATGAAAGAATTTTTAAAGTCTCTCTTCTCTGGTTGGTAGTTTATCCTTTTGTGATGGTGAATAAGTCTCCTGTAACTTATTTCTAACAGTAAATATCTTCTATCTATGTTGATAATTTGTTCGTGACAAACAAGTCTCGTATCTATATCTCTTATCTATGTTGGTTATTTATCTGTGACATTGTATAAATCTCCTCCTACCTGTGTGAACAATTTAACTGTTTTTATAATGAATAAGTCTCTGCAACTTATAATGATTTTTCTATCTATGTTGGCAGTCTATCTATTTGTGACAGTGAATAACTCTCTCCTATATGTGGTGGTGTCTCACTGGTCAGGGTACTTAAGGGAATGATGATATATATATATATATCTAGAAACTGCTAATCTAGTTTACTTGGCCTAATCAATACATGTGTATTTGCACATTCTTTCACCTTATAGTTTTGCTGCTCTAAACCATCTGTCTTTAATTTGAATGACAAAAATTAAAAGTGGTCCACCTTTACTCTTAGGTGAAGCTGTATTTAAAATGTTAGACCAATAGCTCACGTGACTTTTTACGTAGGCATTCACAAAAATTTCCATCAAATTTGAGTGGTTTTTGTTGAATAACTTTGCACATGTGGCTTTTATTTACACCAAATGAGACTCCTAATTGTAGGTTGAAAAGATCTATCACTGTACCAAATTTGAAAAAAATCCATAAACGTTAAGGATGTTTTTATATCAAATAAAGTTTCTGTACTTTTGATGCAAAGATAAAAAAAATAGAAAGAAACTCAATGAAAATTGGAGATATTATATCTGAGGTATTTCTTAATGGATTACCTTGAAATTTGGTATGTGAAGTAGGAGTCCAATAGAGAACATCCACTGAAAATATATAATAGTTTGGATTACCACAGTCCAAGATACAGAAGGAAAATCACTAAACTATCACTCCTGTTAGTAACACTCAGTGTGTCCTGCAAGTTGTTTTGGCCACACAACACACTACTGTGTGTCTTGATAATGTCAGATAATTGTGAACTTTAGTTGTTTGGTTATCTTAATAATGCCAGTTAAGCGTGAATTTTAGTTGTTTGGTTATCTTAATAATGTCAGTTAAGTGCCAGTTAAGTGCTTTTTTAGGATTTAAATGTTGAATACTACATGAAAATTGTAGAATAAGTCCTTTATATTTCCTATTTCATTATATTAATTTCTAATGCATGAAGAACTGTTTAATTCAATATGTTACATTTCTTTTAATCTGTAGATCGAGTATTAAAGTTTTCCTTATTGGAGCGATTGGAAATGCTGGAGACAAGAATGTTATTTCAGCCACAGGAGACAGCAGTTTATCCAGCTGGAATTTTTACGCAAGTAAGATGTACATTATAAAGTAAACTTCATTCACTAAAGTGTACTGATTTGGTAGTTGAAAAGTTAGTAGTCTGTTAAAACTACTTGTTGTGGTAGTAAATTAATATATAATTGCATTAGTCTGTTAGTGACTATCAGAATATAGATTATTATTATTTTTTAACAATGTTAATTTGGCATTAGCCTGATAAGGGCTGTCAATTTCTAGTACTTATGTATATGTGATTCTTTCATTTACAAAGTATATAACACACAGATTGTGTTAAATGAACTAGTGTAGAGACTTGCAACATTAGTGTGAACAGGTGTATTTGGGAACTGTTGAGTGATTTTGCTAAAAAATAGAATATTCCTTTATATTAATTGTGAATTAGGCTTGCAGAGGCTCTTATATTATTTTTATATCTCTGCAGAGAGACATACTCTTTTTGTATTGTTTCTTCTTCCAAACACTTTCCTATCGATTGACATTACTTCATTTCTTGGCAGATTGACTTAAAACTTCGTAGAATTATATGTTGGTCCAATATGTCCAGTCATCTTTTTCATTTTTTTTATTTAGGACTTTTTAAGGATTTTATGGGGTGAAAGGTCAAACAACCCAAAAATGTATATTTTAGACTCCTGTGCAGTCATATTTAGAGCAATCAAGATGCAAATTGGTGCAAATATAAATTTTCATGCACCCAACACAGTGACATACAAAAGAGTAGGATTTGCCCATTTTGAGTCTTTTTTAGGGTGTCAGAGCTCGCAAAAAAGCATAATTTTGGAGTTTTGGTCAATTACTCAGACATATTTTGAACAATTTACATGAAATTTGGTACAAAGATACTTCAGGCAACACACATTGATAAACAAAAATGTTGGACTTGCCCATTTTTAGTAATTATAGGGGGTCAAGGTGTCACAAAAAGCATAATTTTAAGGTTTTTTGACAATTACTCTACCATATGTAAGCCAATTGACATGGGATTTGGTACAAACATACTTTGTTACAGGCCTCAAATAGAGATGTAGACAATTTTGCAATTTTTCTATGTTTTTCACAGAAATTCACCATGTTGAAATCGGGTGGCAGACATGTTACATTTGCCTGCAAATGTTTTTCTATTTAATTGAATATGTTTCTTTTTAGAATTCTGTTCTAAATTTGTCTGACAAAACAAATCAGCATAAATGTAAATTTTTAAAACCAATCAAATTATGCACAGTAAAAACTTTTATGTGCTTTGTCTGATTTAATATAGAGATACAGATATTGTGAACCAGTTAAAAAGGAAATGTTAAGACAAAAATCTCAAAATCTCACTGTGATGTATCATTAGAATTTCTAACCTTAAAGGAATCATATTTGCTAACTTTAGTGTAATATACTGTATAAATAAATTTCTATTTACTATTAAATTATAAATAATACAGACACTGTTTTTAAATCCCTGTGTGTGTGTTGTAGTATACTTTGTGTGATTGATTCCGAACACAGGTTTCATATATTTTATGATATTTTTAATTTTTCATCTAGGGGTGCAGTGAAAAACAGAGAAACTTTGAAGATCGGTTAGTTGTTTTATGTCAAAGGCTACTTGTTGGAACTTGGACTTTAGGAAATGACACAAGTCCCCTGCAAGTCACCTCTCGCTCTGATCTCACTTTACTTCACTTAGCAGCAGCCCTTGGTTATAGCAAACTTGTATGTACTTTGCTGCATTGGAGAGCTGAAAACCCGTCGTTAATTCTAGAGTCGGAAGTAGATGCTCTGAGTCGAGACAAGAACAAGTGTACACCACTAGTAAGTATGGATATAAATACTGATCACCAAAGAATACTTAATAACTACAGCTATTTTATTGGGATATTTTTTATTAAGTATTACATGAAAAATATTTAATGTGTATTATGTGCATATTTAAATTCATATCATATATCAAAGCTTGAAAGACATGGTAAAATAAGCACACACGGGTCTAAAATGTACTTTACAGTAACAATGCTTCTCACCAAGCACTACTCATAAAATCCTACTTCTGTTTATCCATGTCTCCTTATTTTCCACATCTGTATTGTGTATACACTGCAGAATTACTAAAAGCATATGGAGAAACAAATCTTGTATCATTTTGTTTTCCACTCTCAGAATTGGGAGTGTGATAATATATTGATCTTAAATGTTTTCCCTTACTCAATCACTTAGGTTAACAAAGATGAGTTTTAGCAGAGGTAAAAAACATTTTCTGAATTGTAGATGTTCAATTCAGATTTTTTTTCTCAGAATTGTATAAAATATATACCAAGTGAAAAAAAAGTGGTAATTCTTGTTGTTGTATTTTTTTTTATTATTTTTTATCTACTTTTGCACTAGAGGAGCTGAAAGTTTCATGTTTTCATTTCCTCAGTTGTGGGCTTGTGCTCGTGGGCATAAAGAGGTGGCATTGTTGTTGTACCAGTGGAATGGGCCTGCAGTCAAGATCCAGGACAGCATTGGTAATGACCCCTTAACTATTGCTCATCACAAGGGTCATCATGAACTAGCTGAGCAAATCGAACATTTGGAACAAGCTCAACAGTATCAAGAAGGTGTTTCAGGGTGAGAACCTTTTTCACATTAACATCCATCTCAATCTGAATATGTTTTCTACATATTGTTTTTTTATCAGAAATTTTCTTTTAATTGCTTTTTCCTAATGCTCTTACTTTTTCATTTGGATAATCATAATGTGTCATATTTCAAGGAGTTTTTCTTATAACTTTTGCTGTTAACAGGTTTAGCCCTAAGCATAGCACTCTTTTGGAAAATCATTCCAAGTCTACCATCAGTAGGATGTCTTCTATCCCTGACATGATAAAGTTTTCATCCTCAGTGTTACAAGTCCTAAATCCATTACCAAATCTCACTTCTTCCAAGAACACTAATCAAACAGACTCTCATATTCTTCTGACTAAACAGTCTTCTGTGGATAGCAGTCTCTCTCTTCCAGGACTCACCGCATCTGGAGAAATGTCTAAGCGACCCCTTAGCACCAAGAGCTTGTGCAAAGCTCCATTATTATCTCGTAGTGATCGAAGCCTATCCTTACCCTTGACGAGCTCCCCCATTGTAAAAACTTCAAACATCAGAGAAAAGGATGGTATACCGTCACCTGGTCTGATGGATACAGGTAATGCAACAGAACCAAGCTAACACAATGAATAAAGAAGATTAAGATAATATGTTATCTTTGAAACAAAAATTGCCATTTGTAATTTTAATATTCTAGAACAAGTTCCTAATCTGTATTTTTAAAACCCTTAAACCTTCGATAAACATGCTAGATAATCAATAAGGTAGCTGTTGATTAAAATTAAGTGTTTTAGAATATTTAATAATCGTGATCAGAGGCATAGGGTGATTCCATAAGTTGATGGCACATGTGTGATGTAGAAAAAAATAAGCATGAATCCAAGAACTGTATACGTCTCTAAAGCTAAAGGATCTTAAGGTGCTTTAAAATGAAACCTAAGGCTTTTCTTACATATGTTCAAATAAAGCTAATTTTGTTACATTAATGTGCTTCTAAATTGTCCAAGAAAATGCTAAAGGCCAAAACAAAAGAGGACAAAAGAGCAAAACCTCTCTAAAGATATAAATAAATTCATTAATTAAGAACAAGAAAACACATTACTCTTACCCTTCCTGAAAACTTTCAAAAATCAATTTACACTTGTTTTTGTTCTACACCTTGTAAATGTGAATGAATGATTAATACAGGTAAATAAAGTGCAAGTGTTACAAAAATAAAATGTCATGGGTGTATGATTTTAAGTAAGGTGTACATTTTCACAACAGATTAAATGAATTATTAAAAAAGTCAATTTCTTCCTACTTTGTGGTTTGCATTGGCTGCTTACCAAGTCACTTCCTTAAGAAGAAAATGCTTAGGGGTCATAAAAAGCTTTCCCATTGTCCAAGATTATAAATGGACTACTGTCTTAGCCAGTGACAATCCCAGGAAACATATAATTAGTATTAACATAAAGAGAAATTTCATTTCTTTACAACAAGTTGAATAAGGCAGGGGAAATATACTAACACAGCATTTAAGCAATGGAAAAATTTTGGGAACAGACAGAAAAATATCCTATTTTAAGCATAAAATCTTTAGAATTGATGGTGTACGTCACACCCATAACTGGTCATGATTAAATTCAGCGACAAATATAAAGGACTATCACCAGTTTGTCCTGTTGTACTCATTTTGTTTTATTTAGCTCTTATAAATTAATTTTGCTTATGCTAGAACTCTTAGTTTCATTTCTGTTTTCAGTTTATATTATGTCAGCATTGTTAACCTCTTTAGATTTATATTAAATTCTGTTGTTTCGATATTGGCTGAGGTTTTTATTTTATGGGGCATAAAACATCATGTTAAAGTAAATGAATGTTACTCATGCAGTTCTGTTGTGTTTCAGGTGAGACATTGTCCAATAATAAGAGTCCTTATATAGACGTTGTTGGTGTTTCTGATGAAGAACAGAATGTGGTAGCTGTAACAAAAGGTTTGTAACAATAGTCTGGTTTTTCTTCACTAAAGTTGTATGCTGATATTGGATGTTAGAAATATTGATCTGTTTCTTAATCATACTTATTAAGTAAGCATGTCTTTCTTTGTTACGATAGATTACTGGCCATATATGGTCTAGTGGTTAACATTCCAGGCTGTACAAGGATCAAGGATGTTCTTTCAGCTATGAGGGCATTATAACCATAATAGTTAATTCTGCTATTTCGACTAAGAATAACAGTATAGGCAGTGGATGCTGCTGACCAGTTGTTCTCCCTCTGATCAACACTTTCGATTTAGGGATGACTATGTTTGAACCTTAAGGATCTCTGACCTAGCCATTTAGCCCATGTGTCCCATAAGCTGCCATTCAGATTTATAATAGCAACACAAGTAGATTGCTCTGTTACTCCTACATTGAAATGTTACCCAAGCTAAGCTCCTTCATGCTCTTATTTAAATTATACATATTACAGGAGAAGACTCCAGATTGAAAGAACTCATTCACCAATGAAGATAAACATCTATGCAGTATTTAAGAGGCTAGGAGACCTATCTTAATTCCATAAAGAATTCCTGTTGTATTAGTTGTTACTAAATACATAACATTACAGATATCTAGAAATCACTGTGGCTGAAGGAGAAGATACGTATGGTTTTTACTGACCGATAGAAAAAATCTCTTACTACCTAATTTAAATCATTAGTTTTAAAGCTACAGTAGCCTCATAAATAATCTTTTTCTATAATGTTTCAGTTATATTCAAGTTTCCTCAGCAGCAAAATAGAATTAAACATTACATTCCAGCTAGCGCAAGAACACTTGTTTTAAGTCATCACCATATTCGTTAAAACGTGTTTATCAATATAGATAAGCAAAATGAAAACCTCTTAAAATTGTAAACTTTTGTTTTTTAATCAGACTATTTTCAGTTTTATTGTGTGGGTTTAGTGCCAGAAATAATTTATCAGATAGGCTTCAACACAAATTTTCCAAACCAAAAAAAATCAGTACAATGTTGTTGGCTACTAGTGTTTGTTTTTTTATTAGAAGTCATTTTATTCTTAATTAATTAATTAATATAGACAAATTTGCCAAAAATATCTGATGATTTTTATTTTCACTATTTTTGGAATTTTTAACTCTGTTGTGTTGTTTCTGTCACTTATGGGCAAAAGTATAATAAAAGATAGAAAATTACATGTTATTTATGTTAATTAGAAAAGTTTAATCTTCATCAGGTTCAGTGTGTTTGTAGTTAGAACAGTAAAAATATATTTTTATAAAAATTAATACTGAAAAAGATTTTCATGCTTAAAATTTTGTTGTTCACTTTATAAATGTTTTTATTAATATCAGAATATTTAAGAAATTAGGTAAATTACCAATTACTTATAAACACCTTTATAACTGTCTAGGCTTTTGTGTTTAATTACAGTTGGCAACAACATTTCCAACCACCCACAAACCTACACTAATTGTGATCTGAACATGGGCGATGCAGACAATCAAGTTTTAAGTCTGGCAGAGAAAATCATTGCTGCTATGCCTGATCGTATTAAAGCTTCCTCAGACACTGGTGTACTTGCAGACTTTATGGAGATGGAAAGTGAAGGACATTTACCACAGGAAGATAGTGGAATCTCTGAAAACCACTGCAATCAAGATAAATCCTCAGTGGAACTGTGCCCTGTGGATGAACCCCCTCCTCCTCTGTTGAGCGAAGAGTTTAATTTTGAGTTCAGTGACCACCAGTACAGGTAAGGAAAGTAGCTGAAATTTTCAGTTTAGTGTAGGTGTGTTTGACAGTTTTGTTTGTTTAACTAGAAAAACTACTTGAGCAAGTTTTTCCTTGATTTATAATGACAGTACAAGTACTGTCTAAATTTTCTTAGATTGACAGTTGTATTTCTAAAACAATAGCTATAATTGGAGACAATTTTTTTTCTATACATATTTTTAATCATTAAAAAGTTTTTAGCAATAAAAAATAAATATAAACAAAATACTTTTTTGGTCAACTTCCTATACTATTTTAAGCACATGTCAATGTTTTAAATTACTATTATCCATGACAACTAACTGGACTGTTTTATAATTAGAAAATAATATTATAGAAAATCAAATATGGTGCATTTCTAAAGCCTAAATGTTTCTAATACTTGTAATGAAACACATGAAGTGACTTAGGTTTAAAAAAATCACTTCTTTAGGCTTACTTATTTAATTTCTGCATCTTACAGATACTGTGATGCTGGTACCCCGAACTCTTCCTTAAGTCCCACTTCTTCATCTCTTCAAAGTCCAGCAAGCTTCACTTTGGAGTCATGCTCACCACCACCCACCACTGCAGACTTTTGTGAATTTTTCCAAGCCTCTGGTAAAATTATGGAGAGAGATTTTTCGAACTTAACACTTTCGGGTAAGTGGAATTTAATGTTCCAGTTTTTTCCATCTTTCTTTACTGTTTTCCAGTTTCATTTCTTAGTTTTTATTCCTAACTTTTCATTTAGTGGTTTATTAACTTTATTTTTACTTTGCTTGCTTTGTTTATCTTTCATTTATTAAGATCTGATGTTTTTTGTTTTTTAGTTTCACAGGTTTCCTTTTGTATTAAGTTCATTTTCTCTCTATGTGTAGTTCCTTTTCTTTTTCTCTGCTTTCTATACTTCCTTAGTATCTGTAAATTGTACTGTTTTTTACCAGCATACTTCTTTGTTAAAGGTGTGAGTTGTTTATATTTTTTCCAAAGATCATGAACAAAGAGAACTTTATGAAGCAGCCAAGATTATCCAGAAAGCTTATCGCTCCTACAAAGGTCGCAAACGTCAGGAGGAGCAGGAAAAAGAAAAAGCTGCAGCGATTCTAATTCAGAGTTATTATCGTAGATATAAACAGGTAAGATAATGAGAAGTTTGTTATATGTGGTGAAAGGAATGAATCTACATGTACCACATATTTATATATTTAGTAGCCGGCCTTACCCAGCATTTCCTGCGTGTTACCTGAACGGAGGGCAGATGTTTAGCTATTTTTAAACAGAAAGGATCAAAATTTAGTTTTTCATGTAACAATACATATCAAATGGTCATATTTCTGTTAGATAAATGACTTGAGAGCATAAGAGTTATAGAAAATAAATGAAATCATAGATGTATAGCTCACCCTCTTTTTTAACAGTCATTGCAATGCCTCTGGATAAACAACATTTTTGACTTCTTGTGGAGTCTCATTGTCACCTTTGTTGCATACGTTTTTCTGTTTTTGATTGGCAATCAGAATTGTTTTTCTTTTCCTTGACATTTTACTCTGAGGTACAGAATCAGTGTAATACCTAACTCCCCTCCCAAAACAAGGTGAATAAAAAACAATTTATTTTTTGCAGAATTTCTATATACAAAAACGTTAGTCTTGTTTGTTCGTAGACACGACAGCATTTGATGGATATGTATTCTGACACGACAATGACATTTCTATAACATACATATAAATTTTTCTGATGTTATTTCCACTTAAATCAGATCAAAAATCTGGTCCATCTTCTGTTGAAAAAAATAGATTTCACATTTTTCATTTGACACTAAAAATTTGACATCACAGGCGTAAAACCTGTGTACACTTATTCCATATCTTTATAGGCCTATTATTATAGGGGTTGAAGGAATTATATGAATTTTGATTCTTTTATACGTGTTTTTTTTAAACCTGTTGTTACAAAACTGTTATTGTTTTATATTATTGGCAGAAATGATAACATGAATTGTAACACTTTTATGCATGATTTCTTTTTAAAAAAATGTAAAAAATAACAGTTTTATAACGACATGTTTTCAAAAAATGTCGTACAGAATAAAACCTAAATTCTTGTTCAGCTCTCAATTTAACAATCACTCTCTCAGCTAGCCAAACTACTCAACTTACTTTGACAATATTGAGAAACTTACACAAACACAGTATCTATGTAGTTTTGATGTAAAATTAAACATTTAATTTTACATTGTATTATTTGAAGTATGAAATACTCCTTTATTTTTTCTCTACATAATACCTATAATTGTATTTTCCTTATGTTTATTATATTGAAGCTATTAATTTATATTCTATATTCATCATGATTTTATGTATTTAATAACTTAATTCCAGATGTCAGTTACTGTTATGACTGTTGCCTAGATACTTATTTTAAACAAGTTTTATTGCCCAGTACATTGTTGCCCAATGAAGGCTCCAGTAAAAGGGGCAAAAGCTTGCAAATAAAAAAGTATTTTAACGTAGAGAAAATTCCATGAATAATAAAAATAACACCCAGGTGCACACCCTCAGAATTCTCTTAGTATCTGTGCAAAGTTTCAGGTCTCTTAAGTTCTTTCCTCTTGAAGCTATTGCACTGACTAACTGATACACAAACACACAGGCTGTTTAATTAGTATAAATTGTGTACGTAAAATTATTAGTAATAACCGATAGAGCCATTGCATGAGATAAGGTTGTCAGATTTGACCCTTTTTTTTCAGTGCCAACCGATAATGTAATGTGCAAACATGATTACTTATAAAAATTATGTAGAGTTTCAAACTTTTAATGTGTGTTTGTGTGTGTATGGAGGACACAGAGCCATCTTGTTGTCATTCACACAATTCTGCACAAAACTGTAGTAATAATCATTTACCTATGTATATTAGTTCTGAGAGAAATGAAATTCTGTAAGTCTGAAGTCTGAAGTCAGTGTAGAGAGAAGCTATTAATCATTATTAATCTCAACATGTAAATATTTAATAAATCTGGTTGTCAAGAAAACTTTTCAAACTGTACCATGAATTTCAACCAAAATCGACTATGAAGTAGTTAAATGTTAGGAACCACTTTATTGAATATGTGATAAGCATTGCAACTATAGTGAATTACTTTTATCACAATAGTAGATAAAGAAACTGTGGATATATAGCAAAATGAAGTAAAATGCTAGAAGACTTATTTATGATTATATTTTTTTTAGTGTACTGCCAAATTATAGATGAAGAGTTTGAAGACTATAAATGATGTTGCTTTTTTTGTTTTTTCACTGTGCTTACCATATTGAATTTTGTGTTTTGATGCTGTTAGCTTAACTGACAATTAACAGAAAAGAAGATGGTACAGATTTTATCCTGTGCCTAAACAAAGATACTAACCTGATTCTTCTTCCAGTACATTTTTGGCAGCTAGCTGAAGAAGTAGAGCTTCTGGGTTATTCCAAGCTACTTGTACTTACTGCTTCCATTTCAGAATTATTCATAATCTTTTTTTGTTTGTAGTACCTTTACTACAAAGAGATGACTAGAGCAGCTCAAGTGATACAGAACCAGTACCGTAACTACTGCGAACACAAGAGATTCAAGAAAAGTCAAGGAGGAGGAATCTTAGCAGGTTCTAATGCCAGCTCTAGCGGTCTTCAGGGGACTTCTAGTCCCAGTCTTCAGTCTTTCTACAGAACAATGGGAGATGGAGACAGTAGACGGCCTAGTTGTAGTCGAGAAGGAACCCCAACATCAGTCTTTAAGTATGTTTTTAACCATATGTAGCTTGAGAAGATTAATTAAATTCTACACCATAGAGTTACCTACATGTGCTAACTGGCTATTATGTATAAAAGCTGTACATTTTGATGTATAATAATATTATAACCCATACTAAATTATCTTATAAGTGTTTTTGGCCTCATAATAATAATAATAACAATGATCGGGCATGATGTTTGTAGATTATCTTTTATTAGTAACTGTCAATCATGAGTTTCATCTAGAATCAGAGAAATATTTTAGTTGGTGAGTACAGTGTAAACACAGTTAGGTGTATACTATAAATGTAGATTACTGATTCCCAGCATTATTATTTTATTGCTCTAGGTAAATGGGAGAGCTAGGCCTAAATATATGTATAGAGCTAATAGTATATATTAGCAGCTCTCAATGTGCACAGGCAGTATAGTATATAGATCCCATTGTTGTTTGCTAAGATCCCCCCCCCCAAAAAAAACAATTCAGGTAGTCTGTAAATAAAAAATTTGAGAACCACTGGAATATATGGTATAAAACTAATGCAATTTGTGCCATGGTCTTTTGCTTCTTTTTTATTTGCATTATTAAAGAAAAAAAGTGTGTATAGCCAGTGGCCTAGCTAAGCCTAAACTTACATGTAGACCCAATAGTCATATTCAATGTAAATTTAACACAGTTTGCTTCATTTTTGATTTCTCAATTTTTATTTGCAAAAATATGTGTAGGCATATGGGCTTATATGGTTTTTCTGCCTCTGCCATCACCTAATATAGCTGTTTAATAGTTTAATAACAGTAGTTCTATGAACAGAGTGATGACCGAATGGTATGAGTTAACGCTACTCTTGAAATTAGATGAAAAATATGGGAGACATATCACTTAATCAGCAGAATTAATTAGCACTGCTTTGTATATAAATATGTGTGAGTGTTTGAACTTTAATATTAGCACAAAAACTTTTAAAGGTAACCTAACTTATTCAAAGAATTGCTTACTAGGCTTATATTGTATTCTGTATAAAAAAAATAAGATGTAGAGATATATTGTTGTTAATTTCAGAGGTTTTATACCTAATGTTCAAATCTATCAGGTGTAAAATTTAATGGTCTTGTTATTACTCTCATAGGCTGCACCAACCTAATGTTATTTTGTGCTGCCAATAATATAGACTTAATCTCTGTATTTTGGCATTAATAATGAATTGACAAACATCAGCATAAATGATAACATTCAGAAAAGTTGTTAAGTCTGTGTGGACCTATAAACTAGCATGTATATAGTTGCTCTGTATACATGTATCATAGGAATGTAAAAACCCTTAGTGCTTTTAGCAGGTATTTGATTTTGAAATGAACAAATTATGTAAAATTATTAATCATGAAATTTTATCTTTTTTCAATCTTAAATATAGTTGGCTTCATTTCCCCCTTGAAACCCATGCTGGGATTATGCCCCTTGACTCTACTTGGCCTGCTTTTCAGTATTTGTAGCTTCAGTTTCTTCTCATACCTGTAATAATGAATGTGTTAAATCTTATAGTCTGAATTATCAGTGAGACATAATGGATCACATAAAATTCATGTTTTTCTGTTTTTATTTTTTTTTATGATTTAAAAAAACATTTTTACTTCTCAATATATGAAGACGCACCTACTCCCAGAGAAGACAACATCAAGCTGCAAGAAAAATTCAGCAGTTCATGAGACAATCCAAAAATAAGTGAGTGATACCAATATATTAATTAAACTATCCATAAGAATTGGGTGCTGTTTTAATGATACCAATGTATTTGTTAAACTATCCATAAGAATTGGGTGCTCTTTTAATGATACCAATGTACTTGTTAAACTATCCATAAGAATCGGGTGCTGTTTTAATGATACCAATGTATTTGTTAAACTATCCATAAGAATTGGGTGCTGTTTTAATGATACCAATGTATTCGTTAAACAATCCATAAGAATCTGGTGTTGTTTTAATGATACCAATGTATTTGTTAAACTATCGATAAGAATTGGGTGTTGTTTTAATGATACCAATGTATTCGTTAAACAATCGATAAGAATTGATACCAGTGTGTTTGTTAAACTATCCATAAGAATCAATGTTGTTTTAGTGATACTAATGTTCGTTAAACTATCTATAAGAATAATTTTTATAAACATACAATGAGAATCAAGAAACAAATCTTAAGCTTCATTGAACGGTTCAGCATATCATTTATGTGTTGTACCAAATGTGGAGTTATTGCTTGATAACAGGAAACTGTATATTACATTGTTTTTAAACTTTAAAATCATACAGTATATTGCAAAATTTGGTTTACTGAATGCAAAACCATTTTTTAACAAGAAATGTAGCATAAGATTGTTATTTATCATTGCATTGATTTTCCTTTAGCCTTTATCTTAAATTTTCTAAAAGGGCTCTTTTATTATTTTGTGGTGAGATTTTGAAAATCGAACCGTAATTGAGAATCAAACTTTAACTTTTACTGTATAATAAGGAGCTTGTTTTTACCGAATGCAAAAAACCATTCAGTAAAAAAAACTTTGCTCTCCCATTTTTCTATACATCATTTTAAATTGTTTGTTATTTAGTCCACAACAATGATATCAGTATTATTTCATGTTTATAAATATTCATCAGTAATCAAGAAACAAGCTTTAAATCTTAACTACTCATGTGAGTAGTTGCCATGGGCTCTCCTCTTGGAGTAACCTTTGCCAATTTTTACATGTGTCACATGGAAAACAAAGTGCTGCAGGACCACCACCCCGCACTGTACTGCAGATACGTCGACGACTGCTTCATCGTTACCAAGGACACTGATGAATTAATGAAGCTCAGACAAAACCTACAGGACAACTCTGTGCTTAAATTCACCCACGAAATAGCCACTGACAAAACCATCAATTTTCTGGATGTACATATCGACGCCAACAACAGCACAT